ACTCATTTAATGCATTGGAAATAGTCGAATGAATATTTTATTATTTAAAAATATAAAATAGTATTGTAAATTGTAATTGTTTACGTTGATAGTACAATAATGTATTTAATTTTTATCGAAATATTAAATTAACTTTTTTAATGGGAATTTACGTATAAAATATTAAAATACTCTAAAAATCAGGATAATGAATTAATTTAGCATGATCCCCGGTTATTTTGAAAAATACTGAATTTTTTTTACTTTTGATCTTCAAAGTACCAATTAGATTCAATTTTCATTTGGTTGGAAAGCTAAACTAAAGTTTAGCTTAAAATCGACTCTTTTTTTATTGCTTCAAAAGGTGATGACAGAAATAATAATAAAAGCACACGATATATATTTTTGAAATCAATAAATTTATCGCTCTTACTTAAAACCTAAAATATGAAAATAATAAAATATAAAGGTATTACGAAAAGTGTGATGTTGTAATCGAACGAACTACTTGAATAGAAGTGTCTATATGTATGAAACCAATGATACATTTTTGTACTGATTTTAAGAAGCCATCGTCCTGGTAACAAAATCGGACCGTAAACATATGCTTTCGTTCTTTTTATTTTCTTTAGCCTTGTTATGGTCATAAAAACATGATTTTTTAACCAAAATGAACTAAAGAAGTTTTTCTAGACAACTGCATTCCAGATTTTTGAACTTTGTTTTAAACCGATTTTATTTGCATTTGAAATTTTTAATATTTTAATAAATTAAATATTCATCTAAAATAAACAAAAAACATATCAAAATTCTGGAGCGCAGTCATCTTAAAGAGCTTCTAAAAATTATTTTGGTTAATAATCATGTTTTTGATAAGAAAAATTAGAAATTTACTGTTGTTGTGTGCTACTCTGTTAAGTATAGTGAGCAGCGTTCCAGAAAAATTTTCATTCCATCATCCCGTACACAACTATATATATGGTCATAAAACCAAAACTGTTTTTTTATATCGCGGCTGGACCAATCGTAGTTAAACAAATAATTAAATAATTAATAAAAAAATAATAATGTTACTGATGATAGAATAATATTTGTTCTTATATATATATATATATAAAACCGATATCAAATTTTATATTTTGTATATTATTATTCTGTACACCATATTTTACACAACTTAAAAATCTCACAACATACAATTTTTACAAATCTTTTAAAAAACTACAATTTAAATACTATTTAGGTTTGAAGGTAATTTTATGATGAAATGTATTTTTTTTAACGTTAAGAAACAAAATATAAAATTTGATTTGATAAAATAAAGAAAACCTAAGATTCATTCGAATAAATTATCGCTTGTTGAATAGAGTAACTATTGTAATCAATGTACAGCATAATTCGATAATTTAAACAATAAGTAATTTATATCTCTAATTATATGAATTTTTAATATAAAGCAGTTAAGTACTATATTTATTTATTTATTTATTGATAACATTTTATGAACGGATTGAACGCAATTCAAAATATGATAAAACTATGATATAACCTGTGAAGTGGATTCCCTGGAATGGTGTGAGTTTAGTACTGATTTAAGGGGATTTGGGTGATTAGTTAGTCGTAAACGGAATCGTTTGTATAGTGATTTTGTAGTTTCGTCTACTGTTATAATTATTAGATCTAATCTTAAGCCTAAACCTAACCTATGTAAAGTTTGATACCATAATTTGTAGCTTTCGAAGTAAATTGTCTATATTATAATAGTATCATAAACAGTAATCTTGCGTGACGTATAGTTAGTTGAAGTTTACTAACATCGCCAATTATCAATACATATATCTAATAAATATAATAATACAATAATTAAGTTTATTTATAATATTATCAATAAAATAATTTTAATATTCAACTTTCTTACTTATTTTTAGTAATGCATTTGATCTCGTAAACTATTATCTACGATATTCAATTGTCTTATAATTATTTAAATTCTAAAGCGTAATAGTTATACTTAATTTTATGTTTTTTTAATGAAATTGGGTACTTAGTATTTAACGTCATAGCTATTAATTTTGTTCCATAATTTTGCAATAAATAGTTGTAACATTCTATTTTTATCACAAGTAGTTTAGAGCCATAAGGCATAATTTAAGCTAGTCTTCTTGTAGCGTTTGAGTCTACATTTCCTAATCAATTTTTTATTAAATTTATTAGGAATCAACTTAAATTATAAAGTGGAAAAAATATGCACGATTTAAAAAAGTAATGTAGCTTAACTATATTAATTAATTGTATTTTAAACCATACATTTCTAAACTCTCTTTAAGACTACCAACAAGACCATCAGCTTCCTTTACTTGTAATATTCTTTTACTAATTAAAAAAGCATTTATGTTCAAGTGGATGTAATTTTTTATTTTTTATCCTCAGGCAAATTACATAAAACCGATTTCTAATGCCTAAAAACAAATTTTCAAAATTTTTTTCGATCTTTAATCAATTATATGGTTGTTTGAAATTATGAATATAATATTATAATTTATAAAATTGGTATATGTACATTTTATACTACTTCAAATAAGGCATCATATTTAGTTTTGTAAAGTTTAACTGCGTGCTTAGACCATGGTTCATCTGTAATTACCGTTCACGTATAGGATTTCCGTCAATATCTACTACTTAAGCATATTATATTGCTAAATGATGTTCTTTGTCACCGGCGATTTTAATTTGCGTTTCTGCAACATCATGAATTATTTTATTGATAAATCCTTGAACTAATACAAAAGCACATGGTATACTGATGTTTTACCACAACGGTCTCTTAAATTCTCTAAAAATAGAAAAACATTTTACTAAAACCGTGTAATACAATAGTAATGATAAATATATATAATAATAATAATAATAATAATAATAACCATATTAGATAAATGATTCTAATAACGGTTTTAAATAAAATATCAAATTTATACTGAATTTAGTCTAGAATTAATTGAATTCAAACAATTTTTTTCGATATACTCGAAATTTACTATACAGTAGACTGAATATCAATAATTAAATGAAAAATAATTTCCTTTTTAGTGTGTAAAAAAATATGTAATTTATATAAATTTCCCCCTTTTAAAATAAACTTTAACTAATTAAAAAATGATTACTGCGCGTATGTTATTACTTACATAATAATATAATATTATGTTGGCGTATTAGTTTTATACAAAATAAGATTGTCTTCGTCATTATAATATGGTGATATGTTTGGTATCAGGAGTAGACATATTTATAGTAAAAGGATTCAAAATATATATTTTGTTTTAATGTCCTGTAGTGCCCTGCGGTATAGTAAAAAAAAAAAAAAAATGATTAAAACTTAAAAGTCCTCAGTGTTTTTATACACTTTTTTCTCATCACTTTATTTTTATATTTATAGAATGAAAAAACGTTTAAAGCTAAAAATCATATAACAGTATATAATTATTCACTGATCAGCCGTGTATTTTACACGACTGGTCAGTGGTCAGTGCGTATCGTACGAGGCCCGAATGTAACATAACGTTAATCAGTAATTTTCACAGTTCTCTTACAATGATTCAACGATGATGATTCATCAAAGTGAACTGAAGTTAAAAATGGGTGATAGCTCTTGATGATTTCACATGTAACAATAACACGGTTCATTTTTTGTTCACTATGGATGATTCACATTAAGTTATCATCAAAAGTGATAATAAACATGATGTCTACATTCAAACTGCAGGTTTTTACTTGTAAGCGCTATTGATAGTGTCGGTACATAATCACACAAATAATAATTAAAAATTTTCTAATACGTCAGGTAGATAATAAACACAATAGACATTACACTCTACAATAGTACAATAAAATTGTTATTTAAAAGTACAAACAGTACAGCTATGTTCTAACAACTGAACACAAAACTAAAAAACGTAGATTATTCTAATCATTAAATAATTGTTTTAAAATAAATAATAATAGAAATTATTGTATGAATGGTAATGCGGTTTTCTCTTGTGTATGGTGGTTAAACAAAAAATGTAAATAAATAAATATATTTATTACAAATTACAATAAAAATTTTGAAACAAAAAATGTGCATATGTTTTTTTTTTTTTTTTTTAATAGAATAAAAGTGTAGTTTCAGGACTCCATGTGTCTCATACTGCTAGAGGTTGATGCCTATTGTCTAATGAACTAAACTTCTATAAATGTATACTTTTCAAAACATGCAATGCCTATACAAGAATAAGAATTTAAATCGACATGCCTAATGAATAGAATAATAACATATATTGTATAATATTAGGATACCAGTAGCCGCTAAGGTGTATTTATGATTTAAGAATTACAAGGATAAGTAAATTATTTTCTGATTTAATAACCCGTATCTATAAACTATAACACTTGAATAACATACAGTGTTAAAAAAAGACAACTTTGAACTTATGTTTGCAAAAGGCATACATAAGTAAAAATAAGTTAAAATAGATTTTCAAAAAAGATTTGGGGTTTCAGCGTTTATATTTTACTAACTATAAAATTTAATATATGTAACCAATAACTAATAATACAACGCATATAATTAAATAATTATTAATAACTTTATTTATCTTGGTAAAACCAAACTTAAAGTTTGTAGCTTATATTTATAATTTAAAAAATGTATTCTTATTTTTTTTTTATTTGTTTGATATTCCAAATTAAAAATATCTAGACGTTCACTGAACAGCGTTACGACAAACGGTTTTGTGCAAAATCAGAACACTAGAATGTTTCTATAGAATATTGTGAAAACACTTTTAATGCATAAATTACATAATATTTCTTACATGTTGTATACATTTCCAGTCATTTGAAATACACCTTAAACGTTAAATTTGTCTAACAGAAAACAATATTATATTGATTGTCAATTGTCATTACATTTTATATCAAATGCAAATACAAAAAGTTTAAAATTTATAGTACGTTAAACAGAACAGATTACATATTATAAAATACGCTTAAGCAGTTTTGTATTAAAATATGAACATATAAACGTACTTTAAATACATAAAATTGGAAAAAAGAACACATTTACACACTTTGAGCTCACGATATATAGTCAGTGTACGTGTTAACATTTTAAAATATCTAAAACTAGTACATATATACGGTCATTTAAATGCAATACATATCTGATCAATCAGATCTTAAAACTAGCTTAAATTGTAAGTAGTTAAACACAAAGTATCGATTCTTAAATACTTTTAGGCAATACGAGCGGTACAAAAAAAATCTGATAACTATAAAGTAATGTTAAAAGTAGCAAAATGTATTTTCTTCTTGTACACGGTATATATATATGATAAAACTTCTATTTGTAGTTATAATTAAGACTGTGATAGGTTTATCGGTATTTTCGAGGTAATGCTATATGATTATGGCAATTTAAATTATCATAAAATCGTTTTGATTCTCATCATCATCATCATATTATAATTATTATTGTTATTAATATCATTAAACAGTAGTAACAATATTGACCATAATATTGTAACATTAATAAAAATAAAAATTGGCGTGTATATAAAGACTAAAGAGAGATTACAAAAACATTACGATTAATTTCAAAACTTATTTTATATAAAAAAAAAAAAAAAAAATAATAATAATAAGTAAAAACATTCATATAAATAAAACCAGACTAGTATAAGACACTTATCAAGATGATCTGTCGCGAACTAAAAGCCACGGCCATGACTATACTTGATGAATTAAATAAAATTTTAAAAATAAAGTAAAAAATAATAGTTACTTATTATAATAATAGAGAATGTATAAACACTAGTCTATAACTATGACGACGGATCTCCTTCACACAATGGTGGCTGTAGTAAGAAAAAATATGGAATAACAGTTCCAAAATTGTGTTCGGTACACGAAGAAAGTTTATCGATCACAGTTCTCTTTTCGATTGATTTTTGGCAAGTTCAATTAGCCTGAAAAAAAAATAATCGATTTAAACACTTTGCCTTACAAGATCAAACATAATATTCGCTAAGAGGTATCACGTAGCCATTGTCCTCGATACGACGAAAGTTGAATTAATATATTGTTAACATTTATATGGTCGTATTAAAATTATCAGACAAATAAATGCGTTCAATTATTTATTTTAATCTACTTACTATATTATGTTTACTTCTGAGTGTACAAACAGTATATTTTAAAATAATAATTTAACTACGGTTTTGTCATATTGTCTTATTTGTTTTTTATAACCGTTATTTTGTCTCGTCAAAAAAGTATTGATATATCATTTAATTTCTACAATTAAAATTTACTTCGGCGAATTTGAAATCGTTAAACGATAAATAATAATTATAGTCCATAACAAAATTCTGCGAAATTGTAAAGAAATCTAAATACTTAATACGCATTGTAGTTGTCGCCATTGAAATACTTAGATCACAAACATCTCTTAAACGCATAGAAAAATATAATAATAATCACTTCAATGGTAGCTTCATAACCGCCTTTGGACTGCATCTGTCCGTGGATGGCGTGCAATCTGGATGATCCCATTTCGACGTCAGACGAACCTATGTGGCCGGTATGCCGAAAATTTGTGGGTGCTCCAATCATAGATCGGTCGATGCGTACTCGACTCACGTGGCGTTTGCCCTAATAACACACGCAAAGATCGTATTAAAATAAATAAATAAATAAATTAGTACATGTAAACGTGTTTATTACGTTAATTATCAATAATATGTTAGACAACATAAGTCAATATAATGTTTTATATTGAGTTTTTGTAATAGGCCATTAACAGAATGTAAAGTATATCTGTATATACAATATACTGATATACTTGTTCGTTTTGTACACGGTAAACACGCACGCCGCACGCGTTGTATTATATAATAAATTATAATATTTAACAATAATTATTAAATCAACTGAACGACATAAATTAAACATAAATATAAAATTACATGTATTATAAATTATAACATTTAAATAACTTGCATAGTAGAGCTACTCAAATAAATTACTTTAAGAACATTCATTACATGAACTATAAAACAGGTTTAATCATAACACCATACATACAAATCCATTAACAGTAATATTAGTTTTGAAATTTTTTTAATTTTAAATTCAGCGTTACTATAAGAATATTAGAAAAAAATTTTGTAGCACATAAATTTGCATAATTTTAGTCAAATTTCAATAAAGCGCTATGAAGAGAAATTCTTCAATTAATAGTTGGTATTCATGGCGTGAATATTAATTTGGAAATTCAAAGATAAATTTTATGAGGTACTTTTTAAAGTTAAATGTTTTGAAAAAAGTATAATACACTAAATATTTTATATATATGTATATACATAGAATATTTACTAAATTATTATCTATATGTATTTTATATTATTACGTATACTTATAATACCTATTAACTACTAAATATTAATAAACGACTTATGAAATAACGAATACAATAATAATTTAATATTAATGAGAACTGTATAAGTTTAACTAAAACTAAAAGATAGACTATTTTTTCAAAAATAGTTATCGAATACTTGTGCGGCATATATTGTATCATATTATATTCTTCATTAACTCGCATATAAGTACTTAATTTTCAATAAACCGTAAACCTAGCGTCTTAATAATCACCTGTTGAGTACGTTGGTTTACACAGCAAGAAAACCACTGAAATAAGACTTCGCCAGGCATGTTTCCCGATCGGTATCCTGCTGACATTGTTGAACAGTGTTATTTGGAGGTCCTCCCGTCGGCCGTAACAATAACAGTGCCAATAGTAAATTCCTATAAAAAAAAATTATTTATATTAAAGTTAAAACCCAAAATTTATCAAAATTAATTTTTATAATCTTCTTAAATTAAATTGATTTTAACTATTAAAAACTAGAATTAACTTTTAGTCTAAATGTGTAACTAAAAAACCTCGTTTTAACTGAAACGTAGGTGATTAAAATAAATTTAAAACGTGTGCGACCATAGGTGATCGCGATAGATCAGCCAATTATAACTTTGACTGTCTATCAAACCAATAATACTAAATTATTTCAGCATCGTACAAACCTAATAATAATCATAATAAATAATAATAATACAATATTCATATAAATATATAATAGCTATAGTAGCAGCAAGTATCGAGTTATTTATATAGCTATTTTTATCCGTCGACTGTCGTAGTCAATCTTTGAGTGCAAAGACAAAATAAATCTCCCTAATCTGATTGGAGTAGCGCTAAAAAGAACGATCCATGAAGAACATTAACTAATATGAAATTCTAGAAATACTTTATTGCATATACATTCATTATTATCTTATATTTTACCAAATAAAATAACAATTATTAGGTAAGGTAGTATATAAGTAGTAAAAATTGTTTCAGGTCTGAATTTATTTTTATCATGGAGTAGTTCAATATAGCGAATTAGGTTCTACGTAATAATTAGGGCTCAGAACTTAATATACTTATTTTTTTTTTTTTTACTTGCAATTTTTTATTTTATAATTTGCACTTAATAAAATATACGGGAAATTTTATGTAAAAACTAGGGATTTGAAAAATACGATACAACAATACCTAGTGAAAACCCTTAAAATAAATATACATTATTAAGTATTATATTTTATGGAATTTTCAAATTTTCAAATTATATTATAAATATATCATTAATTATGCTCTGAAACATGGTAAAATTGAAAAATATGCTCTTAAAACTACAAAATCACTAAATATGCAAAAATAAGCACTATAAACTTTTATTATTTTTTTCGTAGTGTTGTGAAATGAATTTCAAGCTTAATTAGTAGTAATCTAATATCCCAAAAACACAATGCAATAACTTCCACCCCTAGTAATAATCTTTACCTACTACGCGTAGTTGCAACAGAAGCGTGGACAGTCAGGGCAAAGTTTTGTAAGATATATACTCGCTGAAAAATAACTGATTTTGTAAAAAAAAATAGGTTATGCTTAACTCTAAATGTCATGATAATTTTTCTTGCCAAAACAAATAACAAAAAACTAAAAATAGAAAACTGAAATAAAAAAGTAGATTAATACTAGTTTCAATTTTGAGGTTCCTGGTCCTGGATAATTCTAATTTAAATTTATTAAAATTAGTTTTGACGAAAACTAGTGTTAACTATATTATTTTTAAATATATTAAACATTAAAATTATTGGGCTTTCTACTTGTTAAACTAATGAAATATAATAAATAAAACTTGTTTTGACAAATTTTGGATTTTAACTATAACAAATGTTTAGTTTAATATGTGTAATAGCCATTAAGTGGTAAAAACAAATATATTCTGTTAATCACAATTTATTATTACTGTATTATGATCATAATGAGATACACATTTTATTATAACAACAAACTAACTAAACAGTTATACACCAAGTATATAGTTACATTAATGTTATCGGAAACAAAATTAATATTGCAACACTAGATAATATTTAACATGAATAATAATTGACGACATTCATTTGTGTGTGCGTATGATACCAGTCGATAATAACCAAATCCGAAACCCTCAACGCATACAAATGAGGAGTACGTTTAGAGATTTAATAATTATACAGAATGATTCATTTATCAACTAAAAATGTTGTACAATTTAAACATTTAAATTTGCTTTTATAAATTTTAAGAACGCTGGTAATAATATTTACAAATGTAAACTATATAGTATGTTTTAAAATGTCTTTGCAGTTTGCACTATAGCATACCTCTACTTGTATGGTTCAATTTGAAACATACTTAACTTATAGATACCTAATGTTTTTTTACCGATGGGTACCTAAAATAAATGAAACAAGAACACAGGGCATTTTATTTGAACGTTTAAAACAAAATAATTAATATCAAAAAATTGCACACGTTTTTCCATAGATAATGATTATAGAAATAAAAGAAACGGTGAATTGCCTTATTACGAGTAATTTACTAATAAATAATAAGTAATTTTACATTGCAATAATTAGCTAAAGATTCAGAGGTCAACGTTTATTTTTTATATACTTATACACATCCAAATAAACCGTCCAAGGAAACAGAACGGACCACATAACATAATAATTTTTTACATAAAACGACGACGCAAACCTTTCGCCTGTATACGACTATACGAACATCAAATTACTATTATTATCATACACATAGGCTAAGACTAGGTACCATATATAATACATACGGTATACTCCCATGTATATGTATTGGTACCTGGTTGTTGAACTTCACGACCAGGAGCACAATGGCAGGAACTATATATTCTCGAGGAGGATAGAGCTCTTCGTTGAACGCGAGCAAGAGGCGGCAGTGGCGCACATCGCGCGTATATATTAGTTATATTATTATATACATACCTATACTATATATAATATTACGCGCTATTCGCGACGATGATGTACATATACATCATATATGCGCGGGGGCTAGCAGTTCTCTAACGGGACAAACTAGTCGTGAAATGGCGGCGACGAACGGGTTACGCTAAGTCTATGACATATATACATATATACAGGTACCTACATTATTATTCGCATTAAAATAATATGCTATCACTCTATGTAGCATAATATATAGAACGTAATATGCATTATTTCATTATTTAAACGAGTTTGATAACAACGAGAGCTCACCGGAGGGGCCAATGATTGGAAATTATTCCGTAGGTAACAAAATAATATTATATATACAAGTAATGCGCGTCGAACACGTAATAAACAAACACACGCATAAATGCATAATGTTATATTATACATACGACGACCGACAATTGTTATTATTATCATCGAGTGATTTGAAATAAAAAGTGCTTGCGTGGATAAGTGAAAGTATATTATATAGGGATACCTACTATACGCGTCTGAAAACCAAGACGAAAAAAACATGTTTTCTTCAGTCTTTTGGTCTGATTAATGACTGTTTTGTTTTGTCATCGTAGTTGTCGCCGCATACACAATAACAATAAACGTACCTATATAAGAAACAATAGTATAATACAGTGTATAACTGAGAGGAGGAACTAATCATCCGACTCGGACTTACTGCGTGGGTGATGAACAGGAAACGCAAAGATATAGTAAAAGCGCTTTGCGGCAGGTGAGTCATGCATTACAGAAGTGCAAGAATAGCGACTGTAGTACTTTCTTGATTTACATACAAGTTTAAAAAACGATGTCATAAACGTATTGAACGTTTTAAGTATATGTGAGATAAAACCACTTATAAAATTTTAAATAAAAAAAGAAAATGTAAAAAAATCTGTGATAAAAAAAATTATATGACCTTCAAAATATTCAGTACCTACAGTTACTTTTTCGTAAAATTTGCGTTTATAATATCTTTCTTAGTAAAAAAGAAAAGAGAAAAATCAAAAATAAGGCATAAAATATATTATTTTAGAACATCAAAATATTATTGTTTTTAAGGAAAGTGTACAGAATACCACTTTAAAAGTATTTTTCTGTTTAGTACCTACCAACAATAAAATTAAGAAAAATTTCCTCAACATTTTCTGTAGGAAAATATTAACTTTTATCTAATTCAAAATTCTATACAGTTTACTAGGAAAAATAAGATATATATATATATGTATGTTTTATAAAACTCTTATATTTCATAATTGATAGTATTTAATTTTGTATTATAATAGTTCATTATCTACACATATGCCATTGACATGATTAAAAAAATCCTGTAATATTATGGTCAAATAATTTAAGCAGCGTTATTTTGTACTCTTATATAACATAGGTTTGTTACCAATATCATTTTGTACTATATTCATTATTCAGCTTCTTCGAATAACAATTAGTTTCGTGAAATATTCTTAAAAATTATGATACATAAATACAACATAATGGAGATTGAATAACGATAATAAATTATACCTGTACGTACCTATCTCAATATTATAGTTATAGTATATAACATGTAATTGCATTAAATAGTACCTTAGCAATATTTGTCACACACAACGATAATAATTATTGTTATATAGTAAAAATAAAATTAAAATAAGAGTAAAGTTAAATTTTAGATACAGTGGATATAAACGTGGTATTTAAATTTGACGTTAATGATCCCACACTATATGTAAAATATAATCTATCATAGATAACCACTGATTTTTTTTTTTGTCTTCCGTAAATACCAAAGGTACAAAATCATAAAAAATTATAATAATCTAATAAAATTAACGACAATAATACAAATAATTATTCCATAACGTTTTTAATTAATAAAGTTATTTACTCGTGTTACGTAGATTTATGTTAAAGACATAATTATAATATCTTGGTATCATTTACAATTTAATGATTATGTGTTATTTGAAACATTAACCAACAATAACAATCAAAATTAAATCTTAATTTATAAACATGAACAAACTAATAATTAGAAGCTGTATAAGCGCATCCATAAACAAAATGATTCAATACATATAATATAATTAAGGTTTTAAATTTAATGAAACGTAGATAATACTACCTACTTAATAAAAATAAATATTAAAGAACAAAATTGGAAAAATACCAGCTTGGTTATAAAATTATACATAATCACCTGTAACCAATCTTGTATATATATATTTTTTAAAGGAATCGAATTGTCATGGGAATACTATTATATGCATTCCATTCTATCAACCCGTCAATATATAGTACTCAGTACTCACTATTACAATATATTCATTGATAACATAAACATAATTAACTCTTTTAAAAGTGAAGATAATAAATCCGTTTAAACTATGTATAATGTAATATTAGTTATA